TATTAAATAGATATTTTTTCACCGATCACTTCTATTTCGGATGTAATACCAATCCTGGTTATTGAAGGATAGAGTAATCGCATGTGATGAACCCGAAAGCAAGAGGCGTCACGTACGAGAAAAATTTACCAAAAAATAGCGGATAGTTAGTTATCTCACTTACATGTATTTTATATTGTATTAATAAAGCAATCAGACCTAAATGGTTATTTTTTTCCGATAATTAATTTTTGTGCGTGGTGATAAGGGGTGTTTCATTTGGGATCATCATTCCGAGATGTGCAAATCTGAGATGTGCGTAGATGTTCCTATATCTAAATTCATACTTTTAGACCGTGTTGATATGTGTTTTGACACTAGCTCTGCTATTATATTAACTTACAAATAAGCACGATGAAGATACGATGTAGATACGATGCAGATACGACAAATTTTTTTCTTATATAATTCTATGAAAAATAACATATCGTAAGTGTATCTCAGTTGAATACTATTACCACTAAATATTTTTTTGTGATGTGAACTGACGATCAATTGCGCTTACTAATTGATGAAAGAAGAAACCGAAATGCTGAGTACTACGATATTCCTGGAAGTAGTAGAGTGAATTTTTGGAATACTATCGCAAATATAATCAACGAACGATTTGGAGGCACTTATACAGGACAACAATGTAATAATAGATTTAAAAATCTTGTAAGAGATCATACCGTAAGTGTTTATTTCATGTCTGTATATCAAGGAAATACATTTTTTCTGATGTTAGCCTATCTTTGATTGATAATATATATAATGGCACCTTGTGCCTACTCCGTTGAAATTTCACAGTTAATGGAACAGTATATAGCTGGAAGTAGAACTTGAAAGAGAAGTAGAACTGGTGAGCGATATTTTGAAGAATTTCATTCTCGTTTTTGGGAGAGACCAGGTAAGTGAATTATAATCGTTAATAGTAGATATACTCTGTTAATATAGAAAGTAAATCCTAAATATTTTGTTTGAATGCGAAAAATGTAGAAAAACTATTCGACATATTGCATAATGAAAACACATCCGCGAGAAGACGCCACCGTAACCGTACTCCACCGCCAACTTATGAAGTGTCATCAATTCTAAGTACGAGTCGCTGCGAATTCACCACCAATCAAAGGAATCGATCTGCGTCTCCCACTCGAAAAATTCCTAGTGAAAGGGATGAGAATAGCAGTTCAGATGATGTGACATACGAATCTTCATCTGAGTTGATAAATATTACTTCAGCTTTTAATATATCTGTATCACAAAATGACAGTGATTTTAGTATGCCCGATGTAGGAGGAGGTAGCCAGCCACTGGAATCTATAAATGAGGAGG